CTTCACAAATTATGTGTAATTAAAAAACAAAAAAAAACTGTTCCTGGCAGGGAAGTGGGCACTTTTTATAGCCTATGAATTAGGGATGGCCACACTAAGCTCATAAGCAGTAAAGCCAAATGCAGGGGGCAGCAGCAGTCTGGGGACTAAGTTTCACATTAAATGCCCAACCTCCTCCTCTTCCTTTTAACAGATTTTTTTCTGTGTAATATCAGGCCAGAGATAAATAGGTTTTTATTCGAAAGGTTAAGCCAAAATTGCTGCTCTGTTTTGAATTGAGGGTGATAAGTACAGCTTTTACTGTAGAAAGACTTCTACACATGTACTCAGACAGGTGAACATTACTGATCACCTTGAAAGTTTGTGTGCGCGCAAGCAGGAGAGTACACAATGGAATCTCTTATATTTTTAGCTGTGAGAGTAACACCACAAATGCTACAGGTTGAATGTTCAAATAGGTATGTACCAAAGTTGTTTCTCACAGTAAGTCCCCCCCATTTTACAGAGCCTTGTGAATTCCTAGTCAAACTGTTAATATATGGGCCAATACCTGTCCTTTGAGACCATGCAGTTGACTTCAGGGTCCAGAGAAATCTAAGACAAAACTATGCCTTGTGATTACGCTTGCTCTGTATTTTTTCATGTGTTTAAGGTTACAACTTTAAAACTTATGCTAGTGCAATATATTAATAGCATAATCCCCAAGGTAGTTCCTTTCAGAGGCTCTGATTGTCTCAAGTTATGCTAGAGAGATTCCTGTGCTAGGTGGCTATGCTGGAAAGTCGCTGCCCCCCTGCTAAGTTAACAGGAAAATCCTTACCTTTTCTTTGAAGTGCTTTTCTGATCCTGCTGTGCAGCCTTTTCATTTCAGAAGGTTTGAGGGGTGAGCTTGCCGATCAAATTCAGAGGCTACCAACCTGAAAGAGGATTAAAATGCAGCATAAGCTGACTGCGTTTGAGTTCAATAAAATTACCTCCCTAATAACAGTACCAGAGGAACCCAGGGCTCAGCATGTGAGACCAACTCACACATTCCATGTGACACTGTTGCCAAAAATAAAAAGCCGGGTACGCTGTACTGGGGTGAATTAACCAGACACAGGGGGGCTGTTGGGTCAGGTTCCAATGCCACACATTTAGTTAAAAAGCACAGGGCAGCTTTAGAGAAAAAGGCAGAGCAAATAAGACTAATGAAGAACTGGCTATGATCACTCAAAATAAATGAGCTCATCAGTGAGAAAAGAGCACTAGCTGGACAGAACTCTACGTAAGTTTAGGTTTTATGTACAGGAGTAGCGCATACCTAACAGTAACTAGTTATTGCTAGAGCATGTCTCACATCTATCACAGTCCCTCACAAGGGTTTGGTGGGAAGGACTGTGTCCCTTTAGAAATAAGACTGCAGGGAAAGTTCAGATTAAATATTAGGAAAGCCTGTATAACTAATACTTGCCTGGGCAGGGATAGAATTCCCATAGGGTAAAGAAATCTATGCCAGAGCAAGGGGTGTGCACGTTTTCCCCACAATCTAAACAAGCGAGCAACCATTCCCCAAGGTGTAGGCTGTGCCTTCTTGGGGCAATGATCCTACCATTCCAAGTGCTGTTCCTCATGTAGTGAGAGAATAAGAAGCTGACTTCCAGTAACCAAGAAGCTATCTGGTCACCCCATTTCAGCTGGGAGCCAGTTAAGGAACTGCAGTTGTAAGGTCCAAGAGTTCTCAAGGCACCACAGCAGCCTGCCTGCCTGCATTGCACCTGACCACTTCACAGAAATACGTTTTATTCTCAAACATTGCAAGACTGGAATTCACAGGAGCAGGGGGGTGCAGATGCTACACATGGTCAGTGGTGGCTGAACTGAAGCATTCTGAAAGGATTATTAACTACTGCTATTAAAACAACCAAAAGATTCAGGCTGAGGCATCAAGGCTGCATGCTATCTGCTCTGGAAAGCAGGGAGCCCAGCTTTCTCCCATTGCAAGTGCCAACACCTTGGAGAAGTGTGCACTTGATTACAGAGAAATCGATATGTTCGCTGTGTGCACCTCAGTCAATAAACCAGCCCTTTGTTTCCACAAGTAAGGGAGCAACGCATCTACAAGCCAGGCTGAGACTCTAGAGAGAGCTGACCTGCAGCCTCCTCGTGCTTTATTAATGAGGGATCTGTACAACAGCAAATAAGGTGACCCTAAAGCTTTGTAGCCGGATTCACCAAGAGCTGGGCTCCTCTCTGGCCCATATACAGCACATGTGCCAGTGGGCGATTTACTGTCCCCACAGACACTAAGGACAGACAAAGGCCTCTGTTCACTTGTCCATACCGCACACACCAGCCCATTCCTTCCTCTGGTCTAGTTTAAGAGATTTGCTAAGCCAAAGGGGAAATCAGGGCTGAGGATCACCCCCAGGAATCATAGAATATCAGGGTTGGAAGGGACCTCAGGAGGTCATCTAGTCCAACCCCCAACTAAATCATCCCAGCCAGGGCTTTGTCAAGCCTGACCGTAAAAACCTCTGAGGATGGAGATTCCACCACCTCCCTAGGTAACCCATTCCAGTGCTTCACCACCCTCCTAGTGAAAAAGTTTTTCTTAATATCCAACCTAAACCTCCCCCACTGCAACTTGAGACCATTGCTCCTTGTTCTGTCATTGGCCACCACTGAGAACAGCTGAGCTCCATCCTCTTTGGAACCCCCCCCCCCCCTTTCAGGTAGTTGAAGGCTGCTATCAAATGCCCCCCTCGCTCTTCTCGTCTGCAGACTAAACAAGCCCAGTTCCCTCAGCCTCTCCTCAGAAGTCATGTGCTCCAGCCCCCTAATAATTTTTGTTGCCCTCCACTGGCCTCTTTCAATTTTTCCACATCCTTTTTGTAGTGTGGGGCCCAAAACTGGACACAGTACTCCAAATGAGGCCTCACCAATGCTGAATAGAGGGGAATGATCACGTCCCTCACTCTGCTGGCAATGCCCCATCTTATACAGCCCAAAATGCCGTTGGCCTTCTTGGCAACAAGGGCACACTGCTGACTCATAGCCAGCTTCTCATCCACTGTAACCCTTAGGTCCTTTTCTGCAGAACTGCTGCCTAGCCACTCGGTCCCTAGTCCGTAGCAGTGCATGGGATTCTTCTGTCTAAGTGCAGGACTCTGCACTTGTCCTTGTTGAACCTCATCAGATTTCTTTTGGACCAATCTCTAATTTGTCTAGGTCCCTCTGTATCCTATCCCTACCCTCAAGCGTATCTACCACTCCTCCCAGTTTAGTGTCATCTGCAACTTGCTGAGGGTGCAGTCCATGCCATCCTCCAGATCATTAATGACAAGGAAGCACAAAGAGGAGAGACAAGGAAGCACAAAGAGGCGCAATAAATGCATAGGAACCTGTACAGCTATTTTCTTTTTAATTGTCCCACCTTAGAGCAAACTCTCCTGTCAGGTGTAATCCACCTAAGTAGCCAACAGGTTGAAGGAAGCTTTTCAACCCCATTACAGCACACACTGCCTTTTCTGGATAATACTGTTCATACAGGCACTGCCTATGCTCACCATTCAAGGCAACTCCAAGAGGGGGCTTACCCATGCTGTGAGAGGGTTCGTAGAGATCCCTACGGGCAGCACTTCACCCCTCAATCAGTTGCTGGGTATGAAATGCTGACTTTAGTCCTTCGCTGCAGGCCTGAGTGTGAGCAAGTCAGCTAGAGAGAGCGAGTTCATCCCCCTCCCCATTTGCTGAGCTGTAAATCATCCCCTTCCCTTGGTCACCAAGATCCTCCCTGTGTGCAACAGCAAGAAATTCAAGCTCCTGCCACCTTCAGGGCATTGGATGAGCTTTCACGCCATCTTACACCTCTGTTTATTTATAACACTGTTCAAAGGCAGCCTGGGTTTCCCTTTCAATGACATCGAAGGCTCCTCCACACCCCAGGCGGAGAAAAGAGGAAGCAGGTAGACTGGGCAGAGAACAGGAAGCTTTGCAAGCTGTTGGAGTGGATTCCCTTTAGAGATCTTGGGAAAAGGACACCTATATCTCCTTCCTAACCCAGAGCCTGTGCCGCTTGCTCAGCTCCCTGTGTGCATACAGGGGGGAGCAATTCCGCACTCAGAGAAAGGGAAGAATCCATCTATGTTTAGGTTTAATTAATTAGACAGAGTTTTGCTTGGAGAGGAGGGTAGATGTTGCAGAAGGAGGGCAGATATGGGGTGAGTAGAGGGGCAATCCCAAACTGAACTGGACTGTGGTGACCTGGAACGCTGATCCAATACATACTCCTACAGAAGTGACACTGCAGGCTGGGGGCAATTATTGAATTTTCATAGAGGGTGTAAAAGGAGCACATCAGAGGGTACCTGGAGCCACAAGGGTAGGATTATCCCAGGTCAGTTATGTTGGTGCAAAGAGTCTGGTCCACATCATGGAGAAAGACGCACAACTTCCTGCATCTGTCTAAACCAAGGGGTGTGACGGGATCCTGCTCACCAAGATGGGGCTCGGGGTGGGCTGTGAATAATTATAAACTTACCAGGTGAGGAGAGAGACCGGATCCCTGTGACTGGGGGTGGTGTGAGAGGGTTCTTTCTCCTACAGCCTTTATAAATATAACTGCTCCAAAATCCTCCTGCCTGGCTTAGATGAAAGGCCTCAAAACCCAGAAAATAAAGCCAGCTGCAGGAAGCTCTGATCCCAGCTGTACTTTGAGGATTCTATTTCCAGACAGTGTCTCAGCAGAACGCTGCTTCTGCAGAGACCCCCAGGAGCTCAGCCTGCCAGCCCCAGCTACAATGCCTGATCTTATTCAAGAGCATTTCATTTCAACTTGACAAAAGCCTTGGCTTCTGAATTCAGAGGGATGCCCTGCACCCCTGTTAAAAGAGAGAGATTGTTCCTACAGATCACAGTGTTTGGAGATGGAAAGCACACAGATCAGTCAGCCCTTCCCTGCTGCCCATGATTAAAATTGGATCTGTACCTTGCAGCTCTCTCTAGCTGACCTGTAGGGAGGACGGCAGATCACAGCTCCTTTGCTATTGTACCATCACTTGCTCAAAAACACGTGTTCTATATGCAGGTGAAAAAACCAGAGCTACTCAGCAAAAAAACAATTCACAGGCATCTGTCTTGCAAAGGAAGCACGGTAGAATTAATCCAGGACCCCATGTCCAAGCAGCTACTTCTAGGTATTTTAAACACATTATTTAATCTCTCACCTTGCCTGCAATGAACAAGGGGCTAGAATTGGTTCTTTCTTAGTATATTACATGGGGGTGATGAGGACAATGGACTGGCTGCTTTATTAATCTGAACAAAGAGAAAAAAATCCACACCACATTTAAAACACAAACTAGGCTAGAAATCTGCACACCCAGGTTAGGAAAGTCCAGAAGCTTGTTCAGAAGGAAAGGAGCCCAGTGAGATATACTATTAGGGTTACCATATTTCAGCGAGCAAAAAAGAGGACGGGAGGAGCCCCGCCCTAGCCCCGCCCCTGCCCCTCCCACTTCCCGCCCCCCCCTGACCTCCCAACCCTCCCCCCGTTCTTGTCCCCTGACTGCCCCCTCCTGGGACCCCTGCCCCTAACTGCCCCCCAGGACTCCACTCCCTATCTAAGCCTCCCTGCCTCTTGTTCCCTGACTGCCCCAACCCTTATCCACACCCCACCCCCAGACAGACCCCTGGGACTCCCACGTCCCATCCAACCACTCCCCACCCCCTGACAGCCCCCCCAGAACTCCCAACCCATCTAAACCCCCTCTGCTCCCTGTCCCCTGACTGCTCCGATCCCTCTCCGCACTCCTGCCCCCTGACAGCCCCCCCAGAACTCCCAACCCATCTAAACCCCCTCTGCTCCCTGTCCCCTGACTGCTCCGATCCCTCTCCGCACTCCTGCCCCCTGA